GAGAGACCACGACTGCACAGGTGAGTGAGAGAGAGAGGGACCACGACTGCACAGGTGAGTGAGAGAGACCACGACTGCACAGGTGAGTGGGAGAGAGAGAGTGACCACGACTGCACAGGTGAGAGAGAGAGACCACGACTGCACAGGTGAGAGAGAGAGACCACGACTGCACAGGTGAGAGAGAGAGACCACGACTGCACAGGTGAGTGGGAGAGAGAGGGACCACGACTGCACAGGTGAGTGAGAGAGACCACGACTGCACAGGTGAGTGAGAGAGACCACGACTGCACAGGTGAGTGGGAGAGAGAAAGACCACGACTGCACAGGTGAGTGGGAGAGACCACGACTGCACAGGTGAGTGAGAGAGACCACGACTGCACAGGTGAGTGAGAGAGAGAGGGACCACGACTGCACAGGTGAGTGAGAGAGAGAGGGACCACGACTGCACAGGTGAGAGAGAGAGACCACGACTGCACAGGTGAGTGAGAGAGACCACAACTGCACAGGTGAGTGGGAGAGACCACGACTGCACAGGTGAGTGGGAAAGACCACGACTGCACAAGTGAGTGGGAGAGAGAGTGACCACGACTGCACAGGTGAGTGGGAGAGAGACCACGACTTCACAGGTGAGTGGGAGAGAGAGTGACCACGACTGCACAGGTGAGTGGGAGACAGAGTGACCACAAATGCACAGGTGAGTGAGAGAGAGAGTGACCACGACTGCACAGGTGAGTGAGAGAGAGAGTGACCACGACTGCACAGGTGAGTGGGAGAGAGAGTGACCACGACTGCACAGGTGAGTGGGAGACAGAGTGACCACGAATGCACAGGTGAGTGAGAGAGAGAGTGACCACGACTGCACAGGTGAGTGGGAGACAGAGTGACCACGAATGCACAGGTGAGTGGGAGAGAGAGAGACCATGACTGCACAAGTGAGTGGGAGAGAGAGAGACCACGACGGCACAGGTGAGTGGTCACCTGGGAATCAATGGTGGTGTCGTCTGCATATTTAATGATCAAGTTTGAGTCAGAAGAAGCAACACAGTCATGGGTGTACAATGTGAAGAGCAGAGGACTCAGAATACACCCCTGAGGAGATCCAGTGCTCACAAACGCTTCATCTGAGAGACGGCCACCGATTCTAACTCTCTGAGATCTGCTGATGAGAGAGCTGTAAATCCATTTACACATGGCTTCGCTCAGGCCGAGGGATCTGAGCTTTTCAACCAGTTTACCTGGGACTAGACAGTTAAAAGCAGAGCTGTAATCAATGAACAGCATTCTGGCCAGAGATTTAGCATTGTCCAGATGACTGTACACAGAGTTCAGGGCAAGAGAGATCAGCTCTTCAACTCTCCTGTTTGTACGCAAACTGGAGCGGGTCGGTACCGGAGGGGATCTGGCTCTAAACAAAGTCCAGTACAAAGTCCAGTATAAGCCGCTCAATGCCGTCTGGGCATGGGGCTTTTCGGGTCGGGGTTCTGGACAGGACCCACTGCACTTCCTCCTGCGTCACTGTAAAGGCTGCTTGGTCTATGCAGTCAAGGAAGACGACAGGTGAGGGATCAGCGGCTTCAAAGTGACAGTAAAAGTTCTTGAGCTCGTTGGGCAGAGCTTTGTCAGCGATGACAGTTCTGCCTGCGCTCGGCTTCCAGGCTGTGATGGTCTGAATGCCCTTCCACTTTTGCCTGGAATCGTTCTCTATGCAGTGTCCTTCTTGTCGCTCTCCATAGGACCGCTTAACGTGTTTAATATAGCGTTCTAAAGCACATCTGGATAGTTTGTAAGCCAATGCATCGCCAGATTGAAAAGCTAACGCACGCTCACGGATTCTATTTTTACTTCCGAAGTCATCCATAGGTTTTGACCGCAGTGCTCTTTTATTATTTTTCGTGGGACACAGCAATCAATACAAAAGTCAATGTATCCCGTCACAGTATTCATCCATATTTTCCGAGTGGAAAACAGACCAGTCCGTGGCGTCAAAACAGCCCTGCAGCTTTAAGTTTACGTCGTCTGACCAGCACTGAACAGAACGAAAGGATGGTTTCTGTAGCTGGCTCTTCTGCATATATGATGGCAGAAGCAGCACTGAAGAGTGGTCAGACCTCCCGAGCACTGGTCTGAGGTAAGACCTAAAGGCCCCTTTAATATTACTATAGCAGTGATCCAGAATGCGAGAGCACCTTGTAGGCATAGACACATGCTGGTGAAAGTTATGGAGCACTGACTTTAAGTTACATTTGTTGAAGTCACCCGCTGCAATTATGGCTGCTTTGGGATAAGCACCTTCGCATTTATGCAAAATGTCACTCAAGTCATTTAGCGCGTCAGCGGAGTCCGCTCGGGGGTGAATGTAAACAGCACACAGAAACACAGCAGTCAGTTCCCGGGGCAGAAACAAAGGGCGGCATTTTAGCACAATATATTCTAGGTTAGCTGAACAAAAAATGTTAACCACAACATTGTCTGTGCTCCAGCACTGGTTGAGCAGGATACATTCCCCACCTTCTCTGTTTTTTCCCGTGGACTCCTTATTCCTGTCCATACGGAAAACGGAGAAGCCAGGTGGCAGAAACGCAGAGTCCTGAACACCGCTGTGGAGCCAAGTCTCCGTCAGACAGAACGCAGCGCATTCTGCGGCCTCTCTCTGGACCCGGATTTGGCTCGCGAGGTCATCTGATCTGTTCAGAAGGGACTGCATGTTTGCTAAATATATGGATGGCAGCGGGGACCTGGAGGTACGGCTCCGCACGAGCAGACCAGCTCGCTTTCCTTGGAGGCGACGCTTCCTCCTTCGGCCCCAGGCTGCCTGGACTCCGCGGTGCGAGTGGTGGAGATGCCCACCCCACTCGCTCTGATCCCTGCTAGAGCCGTAGCGCTGCTCGCCGGTCCGGGTAGGACACTCACCGAAGTCCTTGCATCGGAGTTTGGGCAGAACTCCGCCACAAACTCCAATGTATCTCCAATACTCAAAAGAGTCTCACGGTCGTACGCCACTGTATCCATCCCCATGCACACAAGACAGACAGCAAAAGACAGGGTGCAACCCAGAGCTCGAGCTACGCTGCCATACACCAACGCCATCTTGGAGATTTATGGAAAATAAAATGTAAAATAGGACTTACTTCATGCACAGAGGATTTGAGTAAGCGACCACATATCTTGTCAGGACCGAGGTTTTTGTTTGGCTTAATTATAGAGAGGGCTTTTATGACATCCTCAGTAAAGGTAAAGGTGCACTTTTATTAATCCCCGTAGGGCAATTCAATCCTCTGCATCCTCTGACCCATCCTGATGCCACTAAGGCGTACGTCAGGAGCAGTGGTCGCTGTAGAACAGCGTCTGGGAACCCATCTCCAGATGTTGATGCTCTGGGTCAGGACCGGAGCTGGAGGATTTTAACCTAGTGAGCATGTTTTTAGTGGTAAGGGAAACTGGAGTACCCGGAGGAAACCTACTCAGGCACGGGGAGAACATGCAAACTCCACTCAGAAAGACCCTGTTCCGACCGGGATTCGAACCCAGGACCTTCTTGCTGAGAGGCGAGAGTGCTAACCACTCAGCCACCGTGTCAACAAGATCATGTTTCAAATCAAGATTTTCCCAACTAAAGTCAAAAGAGTCAAAACGGCAGCAAAACTCATGAAAGTAATTGGCCAGTTCACTGTCAGATACAAAGCCCTCTAAAACATTTTTTGTTTTTGCTTGGCCATTTTGGAGCCAGCATTGATGTTCATGCTTGTCCAGGCTGAACCATGTTGTTGTTGCTGCCATCCTATTTTCCAGTTTTGATTTGTAAGCACATTTGGCTTTAAGCATTTCAATTTTAAGTTTCTTCTTGGCTTCTTGAATACCAGGTTGTGATCTTTGCTAAAAAAGCTAAAGCCCTTTTCTGTAAGCAGGACTTTACAGCTCTTGTAACCCAAGGCCTATTATTGGGGTATATTTTGACCCTTTTGGATGGTATTATCATGTCCCTTCAAAAAGCCTCATAAGAGCAGGTCATATCAGCCAAGGTGTCCAGGTCATCGTCACATGACTGAGTAAAGACATCCCAGTCCGTACAATCAAAGCATTCCTGTAGTGAAAGTACAGCATCCTGAGTCCAGACTTCTACATCCCTGGTCTCAGTTTTTACTCTCTTCAGAACGGTCTCATAAGCAGGCACTAACTGCACAAATCTATGATCTGAGGAGCTCAATGGAGGGATTGGAAAAGCTTTGTAGGCCCCTCAATAGATCCATAGCACAAGTCCAGTGTTTTCTTCTGCCTGGTTGGCCAGGAGACATTCTGACAGAAGTTCTTAAGTTCTTTTTCAAGGCCACGTGATTAAAATCCCTGCGGATTGCCAGACGAAGCCTGGGACAGATGACATGGAACTCAGTTTCAGTTCAAGGAGCATATCTCTTGTGTATTGAAGTCTTGCAAAAGAAGATACTACAGCTCCATTGATTTTGTTTGCCAGAAGACGAAGGAGAAGGTTTGCCAGCACAATAAAGCTGGTCACTTGCCTCTGGTTGCGTTGATAAAAGCACCAGTCGATCACAATAACTAAAACTAAAGTTCATAAAGTTCTTAAAACACACTCAACCAAGACACCAAGCACTCATCCACCGCCAGTCGCAGAGTGCGCATGTCTTGGACATACAAGAAAAGAGACTCTTTGTGCCCCCCCCCCCTCCCATGTATTTCCATCTTTGATAAGAGGTTAAGGTCCTTTACTGCCACCAGCAGGACATGTGTCCTCGGCATTTGACCCGTCCTTCTGTGGGTTGCCATAGTGTAGCAGCCGCTAACCCATCTCCATTTGTGTTGTTTCTTATGTGTGTGTGCAGAACCTGGAGAAGGACCTCTCCACTTTTTTCCAGGAGGAGCTTAAGAAGTTCCTCAGGCTTCTGAGCACAGATTACCCAGAATGCTTAGAGCCTGTGGAGGATGAGGAGCAGAGGAGCTGCAGTGAGGCGCTCCTGAAGATCACACTGAACTTCCTGAGGAGGATGGATCAGAAGGAGCTGGCTGAGCGTCTGTGGAGCAGTAAGAACACGTTCATGATGGTCATGTGATCTTCTCTGACTCCTGTCTCTGTTGTCTTCATTCAGGGGTTTCTTCTGGACGTTCTCAGCGTAAACTGAAGGTGGATCTGCAGCAGAGGTTTGAGTGTGTGTTTGAGGGCATCGCTAAAGCAGGAGCTCCCACCCTCCTGAATCAGATCTACACCGAGCTCTACATCACAGAGGGAGGCTCTTCAGAGGTCAACCAGGAACATGAGGTCCGACACATGGAAGCAGCCTCCAGGAGACCAGCAGAGAGAACCATCACATGTGAAGACATCTTTAAAGACCCGGCCCACTCAGACAAACCAATCAGAACGGTGCTGACAAAGGGAGTGGCTGGCATCGGGAAAACAGTGCTCACTCAGAAGTTCAGTCTGGACTGGGCTGAAGGCAAAGCCAACCAGGACCTCCAGCTGCTGTTCCCCTTCACTTTCAGAACTCTCAATGTTCTGAAGGACAGAAGCTTCAGCCTGGTGTCACTTGTTCATCACTTCTTTAGTCAAACACAAGCAGATCTCTGCAGCTTTGAAGACCTCCAGGTGCTCTTCATCTTTGACGGTCTGGACGAGTGCAGACTTCCTCTGGACTTCAGCAGCTCTCGTGTCCTCTCAGACCCCACAGAGTCCGTCTCTCTGGACCTGCTGCTGGTGAACCTCATCAGGGGGAGCCTGCTTCCCTCCGCTCGCCTCTGGATCACCACACGCCCCGCGGCGGCCAATCAGATCCCTGCAGAGTGCGTCTCCATGGTGACAGAGGTCCGAGGGTTTAGCGACTCTCAGAAGGAGCAGTACTTCAGGAAGAGGTTCGGAGAACAGGCCGACACAGTCCTCTCCCACATCAAGACGTCCAGAAGCCTCCACATCATGTGCCACATGCCAGTCTTCTGCTGGATCACTGCCACAGTCCTGGAGCATGTGTTGAAGAGCAGAGAGAGAGGAGAGCTGCCCAAGAGCCTGACGCAGATGTACAGCCACTTCCTGGTGGTTCAGGCCAAAGTCAAGAACATCAAGTATAAAGAAGGATCAGAGACAGACCCACACTGGAGTCCAGACACCAGGAAGATGGTGGAGTCTCTGGGAAAACTGGCCTTTGAGCAGCTGCAGAGAGGAAACCTGATCTTCTACGACTGTGACCTGAGCGAGTGTGGGCTGGACGCTGCAGCCGCCTCAGTGTACTCCGGAGTCTTCACACAGGTCTTTAGAGAGGAGCCAGGCCTGTACCAGGACACGGTCTACTGCTTCATCCATCTGAGTGTGCAGGAGTTTCTGGCTGCTCTTCACGTCCATCTGACCTTCATCAACACTGGAACCAACCTGCTCTCACAGAAAACACATAAGTCCACAATATTTAGTTTGAAAAGAAAACTGGATCATTTTCATCAGACAGCTGTGGACCAGGCCTTACTGAGTCCAAACGGACACCTGGACCTGCTCCTCCGCTTCCTCCTGGGCCTGTCAGTGTCGACCAATCAGAGCCTTCTAAACGGTCTGCTGACACAGACAGGAAGTAGCTCCAAGATCAATCAGAAGACAGCAGAATACATTAAGAAGAAGCTGAGTAAGGATGTGTCTGCAGAGAGGAGCATCAGTCTGCTCCACTGTCTGAATGAACTGAATGATTCTTCTCTGGTGGAGCAGATCCAACAGACCCTGAGGTCAGGACGTCTGTCTGAAGGACTGTCTCCTGCTCAGTGGTCAGCACTGGCCTTCATCTTACTGTCATCAGAAGAAGATCTGGACCAGTTTGAGCTGAGCAGATACTGTGCTTCAGAGAAGGCTCTCCTGAGGCTGCTGCCAGTGGTCAAGGCCTCCACCAAAGCTCTGTGAGTAACCTTTCTTTAACACAGGATTCATTCAACTACTACATAACCATGTTTTCTGTCTGCAGACTGAGCCGCTGTGAGCTGTCAGACAGAAGCTGTGGAGCTCTGGCCTCAGTCCTCAGCTCCCAGTCCTCTAGTCTGAGAGTCCTGGACCTGAGTCACAACGACTTGAAGGACTCAGGGCTGAAGCTGTTGTCTGATGGACTGAAGAGTCCTCACTGTAAACTGGAGACGCTCAGGTCAGAGGGTTCATATGATTCACTGTTCTTACAGAACCTGTTGGTCATTGTTTTGGACAATACCAGTGGACAAAGACAGTTAAAGATAAAGGACTTGTTCTGTGTCTCATTTGGGTTGAATGTTAGTCATGAACTGAGTGATTACAATAATGTGTGTGTTCAGTCTGTCAGGTTGTTTGGTGTCAGAGGAAGGCTGTGCTTCTCTGGCCTCAGCTCTGAGGTCCAACCCCTCCCATCTGAGAGAACTGGATCTGAGCTACAACCATCCAGGAGACACAGGAGTAAAGCTGCTGTCTGCTCTGCTGGAGGACCCCCACTGCACCCTGCACACTCTCAGGTATGGTCTGTAAGGACAGAAGAGACATGTGACATCACACATCAAAGAACACATGGCCTTAGTGTGACAGATATATATATATATTTTTATATATACATTTTATTGAGGTTTTAAATATAATACAACAAAGCTTCAGTTAACAATTTAACAGAGTAGTTCAGTATTACAAGATGATTTTAGAATAAAACAAAATAAAAACATAAAAAACAACAAAAACAACAACTGGGCCTAATGAGAACTTAAAGCTTCTCTTCTTGCTTCCCTTTGCTGGAGACGTTGTTCCATCCAATAAAGGAAACAATAAAGAATCAAATATTGGTTAATAATTTGAGCACGGGCAGCGGAGCGGTCTAAAGCATGTCTTCCCTACATGGCCGCCATAACCGGACTCAGTGTGACAGATGTTTTAATGAGATTTAATGTGTTTCAGACTGGAGCATTCTGGAGGTCAGAGGTTAACTCCAGGACCCAGAAAGTGTAAGTGTTGAAGTGACTTCATTAAAAGCTTCTCCTGGATCTGTCACTGCTTATGGAGCTGAGTTTGGGGAAAATGGAAATGGACAAAGTTGAAATGAAGGTTCATTTTGGGTAAAAACTGTCACAGAAACATATTTGTTTAGAATCCAGCGTGTTCCACATGTTTCAGAAGAACTGGACAGAACGTGTGTCGCTCTGAACCACTTTAAATAAATAATGAAGTAAAAACAAAGTCAGCGGTGACAAGGACTAAAGCTGAACTCACAAGGTCATGGCATGTCCAACCTGCGGCCTGCGGGCCAAATATGGCCCTCTGCGTCCTGTGGCCCTCTGCGCTAACACAAAGGAGCTAATGTGGCACAGTGTCATCCAGCCAACTGCAGCTCCACCAGCAGAGCTGTGCTGTACCATAGTACCTGTACATGTTAGCATCATGTGATACTAGTTTACATGTTAGCATCATGTGATACTAGCTTACATGTTAGCATCATGTGATCATGTTAGCATCATGTGATACTAGCTTACATGTTTGCATCATGTGATACTAGCTTACATGTTAGCATCATGTGATACTAGCGTACATGTTAGCATCATGTGATACTAGTTTACATGTTAGCATCATGTGATACTAGCTTACATGTTAGCATCATGTGATACTAGCTTACATGTTAGCATCATGTGATACTAGCTTACATGTTAGCATCATGTGATACTAGCTTACATGTTAGCATCATGTGATACTAGTTTACATGTTAGCATCATGTGATACTAGCTTACATGTTAGCATCATGTGATACTAGTTTACATGTTAGCATCATGTGATACATGTTACATGTTAGCATCATGTGATACATGTTACATGTTAGCATCATGTGATACTAGCTTACATGCTAACATGCTAATTCTGAAAATAACAAAACCATCAAGAGTAACAACAAATAGTGCAACTCTTATTGATAAAAGTTTCACTAATGACATGAGCAGCGGTACAATTAGTGGACTGCTAATAAATGATATTAGTGATCATTTACCCATATTTACTGTAACTAATCTAACTATTAAGGGTCATAAACAATATTATAGACGCATGCAAGCTGTTGAGAACATGAATACTTTTAAGGATGATTTAATGGAGCAGGATTAGAATACAATATATGGAACAATGGAGACAGAAGAGGCATATGAGAATGTTATACAGATATTCACCCATCTGTGCAATAAAGACTGTCCCTTACTTCACTAGGAGGAGCCAAAATCACAACACAAATGCTTGGATGACAACAGGCCTTATTAAGGCATGCAGAAAGAACAATACATTGTATACAAACTTTATAAGAAAAAAAATAGAGATAAGGTACAAGAAATATAAAAACAAGCATAATGAGAAAGAGTAAGAAAGAATATTAGAGGAAGCTAATAGAAAATAACAAAGGTAATATGAAGGGGATATGGAATACACTAAATGAAATTATTAAAGGCAAATGCAATCATAATAACTACCCAAATCATTTCATGGAAAATGATCAGGAAATTCACAGCATGGAAGATGCAGCTCGTAAGTTTAATACATTCTTTGCTAATGTTGGTCCTGACTTAGCAGCCAAAATCCCCAAACAAAACATGGGAGAAACCTCTTGGGCACAGCCAATAGAAACTAATCCTCATTCCATGTTTCTACAGCCAGTGGATGAAATGGAAATGTTGGGAGTAGTCAGTCCATTTAAAAGTAAGAAATCAAGTGATTACAATGATGTGAGCATGGCCTTGATAAAAGAAGTCATTCATTATATCTCAAAACCATTAGTACACATCTTCAATGCATCATTCATTACAGGCACAGTCCCAAACAGTATGAAGATAGCAAAAGTGATAGCACTATTCAAAACTGGAACTAAGCATCATTTTACCAACTATAGACCTGTATCCTTATTACTGCAATTCTCTAAAGTATTAGAAACACTTTACACTGATAGATTAGATACATTTGTGGACAAGCATAACATACTACATGACAGTCAATATGGTTTCAGGGCAAAACGGTCCACATCTGCATGAATGGAGTCTGTTGAAGAAATCACACATTTCTTAGATGAAGGGAAAATCACAGCTGGGCTTTTTTTAGACTTGAAAAAAGCATTTGATACAATAAATCACAATATATGAATAGAGAAGTTAGAGAAATATGGGATATTGCATTAGAATGGATAAAAACAGTTTGTGAAGCTTGATGATGTCAGCTCTCCATATGTGGATGTTGTATGTGGTGTCCCCCAGGGGGCAGTAGTGGGTCCAAAGCTATTTATTTTATATATTCATGATTAGTGTAATGTGTCGCACATTTTCAAAACTGTGCTCTTTGCTGATGACACAAATTTGTTTTGTGCAAGTCACAACTGAAGCGAACTCACAACTCAGATAGAAACAGAAATGAACAAGTTAAAACAATGCCATCCATCCATTTTCTTCCCTTTAATCCATTTCTGGGTCAGGGGGGTGGCAGTCAGAGATGCACCCAAGTCTCATAGCACCAGCCCCTCACTGACCCTCTGCAGGTGGTGAGTCCACAGGAGGGATACAAAAATGGTTTGCTCCAAATAAATTATCATTACATTTGAACAAAACTAAAATGATGTTTTTTGGAAATGTTAAAGATAAGGAAGAAGTAACGCTTGAAATAGAAGGTGTTGAAACTGAAAGAGTAACAGACAATACATTTCTGGGAGTCATAATTGAGGATAAATTAAATTGGAAGAGTCACATAGCATACATACAAAAGAAAATATCAAAAAGCATTGCAATCTTATACAAAGCAAAAGTTATATTGGACACACAATCAGTGCACACATTAAACCATTCACTAATTTCACCATATTTTAGTTACTGTGCTGAGATCTGGGGCAACATTTACAAAACCACGCTAAATCCACTCGTCAAACTGCAAAAAAAGGCAATAAGAATCATCAATAAAGCCGGACACAGAGATCACACAAACCCATTATTCATTCAGTCACAAATAATAAAGATTCACGACCTGATTGATTTGCAAACACGTCTTATTTTATTCAGAGCGAGACGTAAACAGCTGCACACATTCAGAATATGTTTATTCAAAGGGATACGTGTTATAATTGAAGAGGATTGTTTTTGTTCCAATTTAAAAAGCTTTTGTGTTACTGTCAGTGGACTAAAACATTGAATACATTGGACGAGGAAATTAAAACATGTCAAACAATATTGGAGTTTAAAAACAAGTACAAAGCCATTATTTTTGATAAATATGTTCGTGAGGCATGTTAAAAACTTCCAAGCGCTTGGTTACAAATGGTAACTGAAGATATTATTTATTCTGTAAAGTCAGAGTTGTAAGTAGGAATTTACACAGGTTTCTTTAACTTCTTCCCACTCCTATTTTGGACATTGTTTATTTGATTTGTTTAAACAATGTGTAATTGCTTTTGCTTGGTTTTTCTCATTTTAAAGGTCCAAAATAAAAATATTCATTCATTCATTCAGAGGTTGAACTAATAGTTTTGAGAACTTTAAGTCTGATGTGAGAAATGCACCAAAGCGACTTAGAAAAACTGTAAATGTTAGCATCATGTGATACTAGCTTACATGTTAGCATCATGTGTACTAGCTTACATGTTAGCATCATGTGATACTAGTTACATGTTAGCATCATGTGATACTAGCTTACATGTTAGCATCATGTGATACTAGCTTACATGTTAGCATCATGTGATACTAGTTACATGTTAGCATCATGTGATACTAGTTACATGTTAGCATCATGTGATACTAGCTTACATGTTAGCATCATGTGATACTAGCTTACATGTTAGCATCATGTGATACTAGCTTACATGTTAGCATCATGTGATACTAGCTTACATGTTAGCATCATGTGATACTAGCTTACATGTTAGCATCATGTGATACTAGCTTACATGTTAGCATCATGTGATACTAGCTTACATGTTAGCATCATGTGATACTAGCTTACATGTTAGCATCATGTGATTACATTTACATCATGTAGACATCATGTTGTACATGTTAGCATCGTAAGCTCATGTTGCATCATGTATACTAGCTTACATGTTAGCATCATGTGATACTAGCTTACATGTTAGCATCATGTGATACTAGCTTACATGTTAGCATCATGTGATACTAGTTTACATGTTAGCATCATGTGATACTAGCTTACATGTTAGCATCATGTGATACTAGCTTACATGTTAGCATCATGTGATACTAGTTTACATGTTAGCATCATGTGATACTAGCTTACATGTTAGCATCATGTGATACTAGTTTACATGTTAGCATCATGTGATACTAGCTTACATGTTAGCATCATGTGATACTAGTTTACATGTTAGCATCATGTGATACTAGCTTACATGTTAGCATCATGTGATACTAGTTTACATGTTAGCATCATGTGATACTAGTTACATGTTAGCATCATGTGATACTAGCTTACATGTTAGCATCATGTGATACTAGTTTACATGTTAGCATCATGTGATACTAGCTTACATGTTAGCATCATGTGATACTAGCTTACATGTTAGCATCATGTGTGTACTACTTACATGTTAGCATCATGTGATACTAGCTTACATGTTAGCATCATGTGATACTAGTTTACATGTTAGCATCATGTGATACTAGCTTACATGTTAGCATCATGTGATACTAGTTTACATGTTAGCATCATGTGATACTAGTTTACATGTTAGCATCATGTGATACTAGCTTACATGTTAGCATCATGTGATACTAGCTTACATGTTAGCATCATGTGATACTAGTTTACATGTTAGCATCATGTGATACTAGTTTACATGTTAGCATCATGTGATACTAGCTTACATGTTAGCATCATGTGATACTAGCTTACATGTTAGCATCATGTGATACTAGCTTACATGTTAGCATCATGTGATACTAGCTTACATGTTAGCATCATGTGATACTAGCTTACATGTTAGCATCATGTGATACTAGTTTACATGTTAGCATCATGTGATACTAGCTTACATGTTAGCATCATGTGATACTAGCTTACATGTTAGCATCATGTGATACTAGCTTACATGTTAGCATCATGTGATACTAGCTTACATGTTAGCATCATGTGATACTAGCTTACATGTAGCATGTATAGTTACATGTTAGCATCATGTGATACTAGCTTACATGTTAGCATCATGTGATACTAGCTTACATGTTAGCATCATGTGATACTAGCTTACATGTTAGCATCATGTGATACTAGCTTACATGTTAGCATCATGTGATACTAGCTTACATGTTAGCATCATGTGATACTAGCTTACATGTTAGCATCATGTGATACTAGCTTACATGTTAGCATCATGTGATACTAGCTTACATGTTAGCATCATGTGATACTAGCTTACATGTTAGCATCATGTGATACTAGCTTACATGTTAGCATCATGTGATACTAGCTTACATGTTAGCATCATGTGATACTAGCTTACATGTTAGCATCATGTGATACTAGCTTACATGTTAGCATCATGTGATACTAGTTTACATGTTAGCATCATGTGATACTAGCTTACATGTTAGCATCATGTGATACTAGTTTACATGTTAGCATCATGTGATACTAGCTTACATGTTAGCATCATGTGATACTAGTTTACATGTTAGCATCATGTGATACTAGCTTACATGTTAGCATCATGTGATACTAGTTTACATGTTAGCATCATGTGATACTAGCTTACATGTTAGCATCATGTGATACTAGCTTACATGTTAGCATCATGTGATACTAGCTTACATGTTAGCATCATGTGATACTAGTTTACATGTTAGCATCATGTGATACTATTGTCCACATGGTCTCTGTGTCAGATGTATGTGTTTGTCCACATGGTCTCTGTGTCAGATGTATGTGTGTGTCCACATGGTCTCTATGTCAGATGTATGTGTTTGTCCACATGGTCTCTGTGTCAGATGTATGTGTTTGTCCACATGGTCTCTATGTCAGATGTATGTGTTTGTCCACATGGTCTCTGTGTCAGATGTATGTGTTTGTCCACATGGTCTCTGTGTCAGATGTATGTGTTTGTCCACATGGTCTCTGTGTCAGATGTATGTGTTTGTCCACATGGTGTGTGTGTCCACATGGTCTCTGTGTGTCCACATGGTGTCTGTGTGTCCACATGGTCTCTGTGTGTCCACATGGTCTCTGTGTGTCCACATGGTCTCTGTGTGTCCACATGGTCTCTGTGTGTCCCATGGTCTCTGTGTGTCCACATGGTCTCTGTGTGTCCACATGGTCTCTGTGTGTCCACATGGTCTCTGTGTGTCCACATGGTCTCTGTGTGTCCACATGGTCTCTGTGTGTCCACATGGTCTCTGTGTGTCCACATGGTCTCTGTGTGTCCACATGGTCTCCGTGTATCCACATGGTCTCTGTGTGTCCACATGGTCTCTGTTTGTCCACATTGTCTCTGCGTGTCCCCATGGTCTGCATGTCCACACAATCTCTGTGTTTCCTATGGTCTCTGTGTGTCCACATGGTCTCCGTGTATCACATGGTCTCTGTGTGTCCACATGGTCTCTGTGTGTCCACATGGTCTCTCTAACTGCAGCTGTGTTGTGTTCTCAGATCTCTGTGATCTCACTCTGGATCCAAACTCCGCTCACACAAACCTCAAACTGTCTGACAACAACAAGAAGGTGACACATGTGAGGGAGCAGCAGCTCTATCCAGAGCACCATGACAGATTTGACTCATGGGAACAGATCATGTGTTCATCTGGTCTGACTGATCGCTGGTACTGGGAGGTCCAGTGGAGCGGAAAGGTTTATATATCAGTGAGTTACAGAAACATCCAGAGGAAAGGATACAGTAATGACTGTTGGTTTGGATTCAACCCTCAGTCCTGGAGTCTGAGCTGCTCTGGAGATGGTTTCTCGGTTTATCATAATAACAATGAAACCCGTCTCCGTCAGTCCTGGTCCAGGTCCTCCTCTGGGACAGTGGGAGTCTTTGTGGACTGTCCTGCTGGGTCTCTGTCCTTCTACACAGTCTCCTCTGAGGGACTGATCCACCTCCACACCTTCAGCTCCACCTTCTCTCAGTCTCTGGTCCCTGGGTTTGGGCTCCGGACTCCAGGCTCCTCAGTGTCTCTGTGTCCTGGGTCTGAGTGAAACTCTGTGGGATCGGTCTCCTACTGTTAAAGCTGTTTACTCTTGACTTCCGGTTCTGCTAGCAAGAGGAATGGAAGCTTGATTTTGGAGCTCCCGACGGTTTTATTTGGAAAACTCCCAAAAGGTGCTTTTTTACATTCACGGGTGATATCTGAAAGATGGAAAAGGGAGTGAAGACAAGAAGCAAAACAATGACGAGTATAAACGAAGACAACATCGACAAAGACCATGACGACGAAAGCTGCTCTCCGGGGCTGGGTCTAGTCCAGGGGTCAGCAACCCGCGGCTCCGGAGCCGCATGCGGCTCTTGAGTCCTCCTGGAGTGGCTCCTGGAGCCTTTTCAAAAATGTCTGAAAATGGAGTGTGAGGGCTATATTTTATTTCTAGTTTGAATGTGGTTTCTGTAGAAGGAAAAACAATATTTACGTTTTTAAATGCTGTAAAAATATGTATAAGTAATATCTAATTTCAACATTTCTGTCAACGTAGTGCGTCATATTCTATGACGCGCGGTCACGCGGCCCCGCCCCATGCGGCCGCTGCTGTAAACAAACCGGCGTGTGTGCATCATAGACTGTAAGTGCACATGGATCCCAAAGCTAAAGAGTCGATAACAAGACTGGACTAAGAATGACAATGAACATTTTCTTTCAGTCAATGAGGAAGGACTGCTTCATGTTTGCAATGAAAAGTTTTGTTGCAACACGAGGAACAATGACGCGCAAAACGACGTAAACAGTGATTACGTGAAGGATTCATTCATCAAAAATTCAGAGCACCTATTTTCAGACTTCAAAACCTTCTCAAAGACGGTGAAAGAAAAGGCCATTAAGGATTTTAATTCAGCTCCAGCAAACTTCAGCCTGTGACGTGATGGATATGAGCAGACAGTGATGCAGGTGTGTGACCTCTGAGCCCAAAGCAGATTTATTTACTGTATTTCTACAATTGCATGAAGGCAAAAAAATGGAAGTTAAACTAAAGCAGAGTTGTCCCGTGTTGCGTCATTCACGACACGCGTGGTGCGACACGCTGCAGTGAAAATACACATTTGATAATCATGAATGATTATTATGTATTTGTAGCCTTTACTTTGTCATTTAGATATTAGGCTAATATAGCTAATACATCTTGCAGCCTGTGTTAACTTCATAAAAGCCTTATTTTTTTGCGGCTCCAGACAGATGTTGTTTTTAGTTTTTTTGTCAATTATGGCTCTTTGGACATTTTGGGTTCCCGACCCCTGGGCTAGTCCATGAGCACGAGGGTGTACCCGAGCCGTCTCTTAAACACATCCTGAACGAGCTCCGTGATTTCAGGAGAGACAGTAATGAACAATATACGGACATTAAAAACAAAATTAAAAGAGTTCATGAAAGGGTGGATGAAGCAGAAGAGAGGATAGAGGAGGTCAAATCCGTGCTACAAGCTGCGTCAATGCTAATAAAGAAGCTAGCAGGCCGCCAAGCTAACCTGGAAGCAAGGCTAATAGACCAAGAAGGTCGCGCACGAAGAGAGAATCTCTGTATTTATGGCATCCCAGAAGACAAGGAGGGAACAAATATGCTGTTATTCTTTTTTTTTTTGACTGTTAATTTTTTTTTTTTTCATTTCATTTCACTCACCAGACATGTACACACAAGACACACAACACAACATAACGCAATGACAAATCCCACCCACCAGGAAACCTCAAAACAAAATACACAAGCCCACCGACAGATGCATAACTAACAGGCAAGACAAAAAAAACAAAATATAAAACTGAAATAAACAACAACAGTCCCCGAGGCCTTCATCCACTTATCCATTCTCTCATTTCCCATTTTCTATGGGACATCAGTCCCATTTCAACATCTTCCATTTTTTTTCGTGCACAATTATCCTTTTTGTGTTTGTAGCTATATTTTTTCCATTACATATTGTTGTTTCAGTTTATTTTTAAAGTTATTCAGACAGAGTTTTACATTTAAAGATAACAATTTTACCCATCAGGATGATTACATTCTCTACATTCGTTGAGCTGCTGTCCAAGATTCCCAACATTATGTTCATGGGAACTCGATCCCGAGTCCACACGACCATCTTTGGACCATCGTCCAGAATAAACATATGGGCAAAAATAAAACAGAGGCATTAGGTCTTCGTCCTCCTCTTCACAGAATCTACACATGGGGCTTTTAATGATCTTACATAATGCCAGGTGTTTTCTTGTTGCTGTGATTTTATAGAATAGTTTTATTTGGAAAACCCTAGAGTAAGAATCTATGGCAGTTTTGTATATATTTTGGAAAAAATGTTTCCATAAAACAGGACAATTAAATTCATCTTCCCATGCAGTGCAGATTCTGTGAGGGTAGAAGGCTGTTCCAGACACACACACATTGTACTTGTACATATGTTTGTTTATCTTGTCCATTAAGAGTTTGGGATGAACGTAATCATGCAGAAAAAGAGTTTCTTAAGTGTAAAGACTCTAAAGGCAAACAAGGTTTGAGGGACAAGTACAGGTCTCTTTTTGACAAGCATTTCAGAACCTGTAAGAGAAGATTTCAAAGGGGCCAAGCATTAAAGATAGACGATTTACAAACTAACAACCCGCAACAGTTCTGGAAGCCTATAAATAAACTGGGGCCTCAAAACACAAAGAAAATTCCAATTGAAGTTATTCTAGACAATGGTGATGTGGAGCAAAAAAAGGAGAAAGTACTTGCAAAATGGCAACATGATTTTTCAGACCTTTATGCTGAGGGACTAGTCCCTGATTCCAACACTAGTAATATTTTGCTGACAACAAAACTAGACTTAGAAACAGTTATGTGTCAAGATTGTTATCAGCCAAATATGTTTTTGAATTTTGACATTACTGTGGAAGAAGTAGGTGATGCTGTGAATCGGGCAAAACTCAGGAAAGCAATGGGAATAGAAGACATCCCTAATGAAGTGTTAAAATCTCCACATCTCCAAACAAGTCTGTTTTTTCAAATTCTGTTTCGACAACAGCCTTATTCCCTCAGTGTGGTATAAATCCATAATCAAACCCATACCAAAAGCATCTAAAGATGATCCTAGAGTGCCACTTAATTATCGAGGGATAAGTTTGTTAAGTACAGTCTATAAAATGTATTCCAGTTTGTTAAATACTAGACTGACTGATTTTATTGAAGATACCGAGTTGTTAGTGGATGAACAAAATGGATTTAGAAAACACAGAGCATGTATTGACAACATTTTTGCTGTTTCAACTATTGTCAGAACCCGATTGGCTGAAAACAAATCCACATTTCTATGTTTTGTAGACTTTAAAAAAGCTTTTGATTGGGTAAACAGAGATCTACTGTATTTGAAACTTCTTCAGGCTGGGGTTGATGGGAGATTTTATAAAGCACTAAAATCACTGTATACAAACTGTATCGGATGCGTTCAATTAAATGAGCTCCAGACTGACTGGTTCCCGATACCCTCTGGTGTAAAACAAGGGGACAGTCTGTCTCCAAACCTGTTTTCACTTTTTATCAACAACTTGGCTCTGGAAATAAAACAATTGAACATGGGTATTCTTATGGACTCTGACACAGCAGCCATTTTGCTTTATGCTGATGATGTTGCACTCATGGCTGAATCAGAATCACGTTTAACAGACCATGTTAAACGTGTTACAAGACTGGTGTTATAAGTGGAAACTTTCCATAAATCAAACTAAAACTCAGATTGTTCATTTTAGGAGGAAGTCAATCCCATTAAGCAAAATTGTTCTCAAGCTCGGTAACATTAGTAGCATTGGAATTTGTCCCCGAGTACAAATATCTGGGTTTCACATTTAGTGAGTTCATGAGTTTTGATTGTGGAGTCAAAGTTCTTGCGGACTCTGCCAGCCGTGCTTTAGGCTCTGTGATAAACAAATGTAAAGTATGTAAAGATCTTGGTTTTAGAACATACTCTAAGTTGTATGAGGCCTGTGTTTCTCCTGTTCTAAACTATGCTGCTGGTGTTTGGGGAGCCAGACACTATTCAGCCTTAGATGCTGTAGAAAACAGAGCAATCCGCTTCTTTTTGGGGGTCCACAAGTTTGTTCCTGTTCTGGCTGCACAGGGGGATATGGGCTGGGTTCCTGGCACAGTCCAAAGAAAATGTGACATGGTCAGATTGTGGAATCGAATCATTAATATGCCAGACAACAGATTAACAAAAAATTTCCTTAAATGGAGCAAAGCCATGTCCCCCTGGGCCGCAGAGCTTCGATCTGTGTTTGCTGAAGTGCAACACCAATACGTTTTTCATAACAATCTGCCATGCAGCGTCAGTAGCATTAGAGCAAAACTAGTGGCCAATTTTGAAAAACAGTGGCAAATTGGAATTTTGACAAAACCAAAACTAACAACATATATTCAGTTAAAAGAAAATTTCAAAACAGAGTTTTACGTCACAGCAAATTTGCCCAGGAATCAGAGATCTTTGATGGCTC